TCACTTGTAAGTATTTCCCACTAAATTAAGTAACATGTCTTAACTGGTATGAAAAGAGGTCATACAAATAATAAAAATCCCCACTTCTCTTTTTGAGTTGTATAGAAATGTTGCCAGCATTAAACGTTCCATCATGGTATTTGGCATTCATACACTTTAAATTGTAACAGATTTTTATGGGGATAGATCCAAAATAATCATTCCAGTCTTTGGGAGAGAAAAACCTATGCTCTAAAGAATGTTTTTAAGATAGTATTTCATTTTTCAGTTCAAATTTACTTCCCAAAAGCAATCCTAAACTACATGTAAAAGAATTAGTGTTTCAAACAAACTAATCTCAACTTGCATCTAACTTTGGGAGTGTTGTTGTTGTTGCTGTTACGTGCCGTCGAGTCGAACCCGACTCATAGCGACCCCTCCTTGGGCTTCCGAGGCAGTATCACTACGGAAGTAGGATTGCCCAACCTTCCTTCCGAGGAGTGGCTGGTGGGTTTGAACCGCCAGCCGTCTGGTTAGCAGGCAAATGTCTTAGCCACTATGCTACCAGAGCTCCCAACTTTGGGAGTAGTGGTCTGGAAATACGATTCTATTACCTAGACATAAATTAATAAAGGTTTTTCTTTTAGTATTGCGATGATGGGTATGCACACCTAGGAAAGCATATGTTTCCGTTTGAAAACATAACTCCTTATTTGTAGAAATATGAAAAGCATAAAGCATAATGAAATGGAAAGAAAATGAGAAACATGGTCATGCCTGGTAGGTATCATATCTAATAGGGAGATATCTGAAAACCTGGAATTAGTCAAGGACCCAATCTAAGCAATCTTAGGTACCGTTTTCATCCCATTCCCACAGGGACCACGAGCACTAAATCCTGGCATAGGAAGAAGGCGTCTGGGTCCAGACTCACAGTGTGTATGGTGAGACTGGTCCCAAGACCCCTCATGGTTCTGTTATTAGAAGCTGGCTAATGCCTAAAGCACTTGACTGCTAACCAGAAAGCTGGTGGTTCAAACCCACCAGCTTCCTCGGAAGGAAGATGGGCCAATCTACTTCCGTAGTGATACTGCCTCGGAAACCCAAGGAGGGGTCGCTATGAGTCAGGTCCAACTCGACGGCAGCAAGTCTGGTGTTGGTTTTGGTTTTCTGATGCCAGTCATAAACTTCAGGAGTCTCCAGTCTCCTGACTTCTAACCTGCTGCCCACAAATTTGAGGGTTCCCTTTACTCCCTCAAAATAACAGCCATAAGCTCAGGGATCCCCAGCTCCCTTCACTGCTGACCTGTTGGCTCCCACTACTCCCCTGGGTTCAATAATTTGCTGGAAGAACACACAGAACTCATGGAAAGCACTATACTTATGACTACAATTTTATTATAGCAAAAAAGATGCAAATGGAGAGGTCTGGAAGAGTCCCCAACGCAAAGACGCAAAGCTTCCTTGTCCCAAAAAGAGACATGCTATCCTCCCACATTCATCAATGTCTGTCGCCAAACAAGTTTCCCTGTCCAAACTCTTTATTGGGGGTTAGGTTAGGTGTGATCTCTAGCACTCATCAAAGACCCTTATGATTGCAGGGGAAATTTCAAGGTTTTAGAGGTTACCTCTCAGGAACCAAGACAAAGACCAAATTCATTAGGTAAAGTTAATTTTAAATCCCACAACCTTCAATCTTCTTCCAACATATTTTTTCAGGTCTCAAATGACACAAAAGGATGACTGAGATCAAATATTCACTAGTTGAGAATCAAGCTGATTCCTGTTGTATCATGCTTCTCTCCTTGATTCATTCAAAATAGAATTTTCCTTCTCTTTTTAAGAATCCAAATGTTTAAGGTCTGAAAGAATGAATCATTTTCCAGAGATAAGTTTAAGTGCAGCCCACAGCCTACTGCCAAATAACTACAGAGATCAGTTCTTTCTGCAGGAAGAGAGCTGGTGGTGTCAACAAACACCTTCTGTCAATGAACTGCTATCTAACCAACTAAACCTCTCCATTGCTGGTTTTCCCACAGAGAAGGGTTTTATGTGTTTCATTTAGTTTTAGAGAATTTAAGACCATAATTAGCAAACTTGACATAGCTCGCTTGCTGGAAAATAAAATGAAGGTGAGCAATTTCATAAAAGTTTTAGTCAAGTAAATGAATTTGTTAAGCTAAACATTATTTCCTAATATCTTAATCAGAAATATTAGTCAAACAACAAACCTATAAAGTATTTATAAGGTGAAGATAGTTAAAGGCTTTGCCTTCTTTCAAAAGCAGTGGACTCTCTGAAAACTTCTATTTGTATAAGCTACATTGCAACTGGTAAATTTCAATAATCTCTCTATTTCCGTTCTTCTTTCATCCATTCTTTAGTAACCAAATCTCCTTGACATAGTGTTCCTAGTTTCCTTTCTCCAGTACTTCTATCACCATTATTAAAACAATTCATACCTTCATGTCATCCTTCAACTCCTGGTTCCTGTGTATTACTGTACAGCCCATAGAACTTGGTTCACCTTGAGTGGGCAGGTGCTGAAAAAATACTAAAGGACTCAATTTTTACCTCAGAATATGTATAGATATTTATTTTTAATGTCTTTAAATACTTTAATCTAAAAGGAATTTGAAGACCATTTAAGAATAATGAACTTTTTTTCTTTATTCAAATCCATTTCTGATTTCATCTTTGTAAGAACAATTAAATCTGTGTATTTTGTTTCTGAGTAATATATTTTTATTTAAAACATTGTGTTATTCAGTCAGACTGCATATTGGGTACCTATTGTGTGCCAGATCTGTTCTGGGTTCCTGCCTAATAGAGCTTACAGTCTAAAAATGGTATTTACAAATTTTGATGGGCTTTACTTTTCAGACATTCAAGCAATGAAATTATTGTTGTTCTCCAGAGTATATCACCTTCTGACAATACTCTAAACTTGAAACAAGGCAACAAAAATAAATACTAACTCTCACATAGTCTCCTGAAAGTCTGAGAAGAACAAAACATTTAATTAAGTAGACAAGGAAGGTTGGGCAATCTACTTCTGTAGTGATACTGCCTCGGAAACCCAAGGAGGGGTTCCTATGAGGCAGGTCCGACTCCACAGCGTATAACAACAACAACAAGAGGCCTGGTACCTAAGGCATTTGACTGCTAACCAGAAGGCTGGAGGTTCAAACCCACCAGCCACTCCTCTGAAGGAAGGCTGGACAATCCACTTCTGTAGTGATACTGCCTCGGAAACTCAAGGAGGGGTTCCTATGAGTCAGATCCAACTTGATGGCAATGAGTTTCTTTGCGGTTTTTTAAGGAAAATAACAAATGTTTAGGTTAGTTTTAACTGTGTCTAGGTTGTCTTGACTTTGGTTATTTGAAACTGAGTGATAACTACCAAACTAATTCTCAAAACATCTAGTTTGACAATCTGCAATCTAGCATAGCACATTATAGAAAATGTTTTCTGATTTTAGGGTTTTGACCACAAACTTATACAAACCTTTTTATTTATATTTTTTGAAGCTAAGAAATATTTCCTGTATAAAGATTTAATACTGATCAACCTATACACTAAACATTTGCAATCAAAACATTTCTATTGACTACTACTTTTAATTCCTTCTCTGTTTGGTTATTACATATTATAAAAATCATTATAAAAGTATCCTGGTCCTACACTGAGAATTTTCAGCCAATTTTCCTTGCTTGTTTGTCACTAAAAAAAAAAAAAAAAAAAAAAAGATCCCATGCTGATACTGTTGTTGTTATGTGCCGTTGAGTCAAACCCGACTCATAGTGACCCCTCCTTGGGTTTCCTAGGCAGTATCACTACGGAAGTGGGATTCCCCACCTTCCTTCTGAGGAGTGGCTGGTGGGTTTGAACCGCCAGCCGTCTGGTTAGCAGGCAAGTGTCTTAGCCACTATGCTACCAGAGCTCCCATGCTACTTAGTAGCCCATATTACTTTAACAGTACCTTTACTATCAGAAGACCAAGCCTAAAGAATTACACATTTCCAAAACACAGAAACATTGAAAAAAAGCCTCCAAGAAATTTTTTTTTAATTATCTCTTTATTAAACTAAATGTGTAAATGTGTAAACATTAAATAAATGTTTCACATAAATTAAAACATGCTTTAACTCATACTCAGTTGGAAGCTGTATTAGACGGCTATGAAGGAAGTTTGGGCAATCTACTTCCGTAGTAATACTACCTCGGAAACCCAAGGAGGGGTAGCTATGAGTCGGATCCGATTCGACGGCAGTGGTGGGTGGGAGCATCAGTTGGAATAAAATCCTGGTTACACACTATTCATCCCAAGTGGCAAAAGCAGAGAAAATAGAATATTCCCTTTTTTCTTTAGAAAGGCCATGAACAAGTTCAAAACTGGAATGCTTGTCAGAGGCCACTTTTCCACTCTCCAAGGAGAACCTACATGTCTGCACACATCACTATCCCAGTACTGGTAATATCTGTGATATCTCCTACGCATCCACAGCAAAGTATGTACCTAATACGCACACACAGGTAGAGATGGGTCCTGGGGCCTATTAAGAAACGAATGATAAATGACTATTTTGTTTCCTCTAAGTCCCTGCTCTCTGCACCTTGCTGTTTGCAAGGAGGGTTGACTCTTTCCGTGAAGACTGTTATTTCCTCCCATCTTTGATACAGCAACATGACAGTGAGTGACCTCTCGGGTGTTCGTGCTTCGTTTCGTACTCCTACCCCCATCTTCTCCAGCCTCTCGGGCCTTTAATTACCAGAGTGGCCTAATAGCTGGGGAGATGGTTTATGCTGATGGGAGTCGGGTAGAGATTGGGATCACAGCATTTGGCCGCGGTTGTTGCTCATTTTCACCCCTTTCTCCTTCCACTTTTCACTGCAGACTCCCTTTTCCAGGAGGCATCTCTGAGCCCACCTTTTCCTCTTCCCTCCACCACCAACAGTTCAACCTCTCCGCCCTCGGGGGCCCCCGCCCCCTAGGGATGACAGGGGGTAGAGTCCTTACCAGGCTCATGGACTCCTGGGTTGTCGGACAGCTCTATAACCAGGAGCTCCCGGCCCTCGAAACTGCGCCCCACTGTGTAGATCCTGCTGATGGCGGTGCATTGCAGCCACACGGACACCAGAGCCTCGCGCAGCTCCGGGTAGCGGTGGTACTCGAAGGAGATGCCGTCCTCCTGAAGCAGCCGCCGCCGCCGCCTCATGCCCGCCGCGGGGGTCCCGGGCTCCTGGGCTTCGACACCCAACAGCCAAGCGCAGGCGACCAGTGTCCCGCACAGCGCTAGCAGCGCCCGACCCCTTCGCCCGGCCATCACTGCACTCGGGCCCGCCTCGGGTCGTGCCTGCCTGCGCCCAGCGGCCTCTTTTGTCTGCCGGGCTCCGGAGCTTAGCTGGCTGGCGCCGCAGAGGAGCTGCAAGTACTGCACCAGCCTCCTCTCTCCTCACCTTCCTGGGCTGAATGAGTGTAGCGCGCGCGCAGGGGCCACCCAGAGGAGAGGGGCTGCCGCGGCTCCACGGGCTGCACTATTGGCCGCTCAGCCTAGGGGAGCTACAGGAGAAACCACTGCAACGAGGGGGCGCGGCGGGAGTGCAGATCTTTCACCCTGACTGAGCGGAGGAGTCAAGGTCCGGTTTGAATCTGTGAGGGCTGCTTGCGTTGTTTGTTAGCTCAGAACTACATCAAATGTCAAATGACGCCGGGGCGATGCAGGTGAAATGACAGCTAAAGTCTGGGTTTGGGGAGACTGTTGTCAATGAGACACTCCTGATATTGGGCGTGGAAGAAATATTCTTGGATTCTCAGTGGAGCCCATCTATTCCAAGCCAACTAGGGTTTCCATCTTGATATACCCCGAATTAGAGCACCTTCCAGAATAAAAGAAACAAAAAGGAAGAATTGACAGCTACTTTTCTCTATGATGTATTTCTCAGAACTGTGTTGCTAGACCAAACACAAACCTCTAAAGTCGGGCTTTCATTATTGCAAGTTCTCGCTAGAAAACAGAATGTCGTGCAATTTGATTTAGAGGTTTAAGACAATAAAAATGCATTCTTTCCGTTTGCCGATAGTCTTTCAATGTATTTATGACATTTCTGGATTTTTTTAGAAAAACAAAACAAAACAAATAGGAGTGTATCTGGACTGCACTAACCTTCAAACGCTGTGAACAAAACAGTACAGCTCTGAGGCTGTGCTTGACAAAAGATTTAGTTTGGCATTAAGATATAATTAAGATTAAAGAAAATACCGCTTATGATAAATGACACTTCTCTTTCCATCACAAAGTTTCTGTAAAAATAGAGAATCATTTACAGCTCTAAATACCTAGCCTTTAGACAGGATTTATATTCATAGAGCAATATCTGGACCAGATGTCATTCTAAAGAGGTTGCTGCTTGGCCTCAAGAGTCACCTATAATCTATATAAATAAATAATCTAATGGGTATTCCTGGGAGCTGTGGTAACATAGTGCCTAAGGCACTTGACTGCTAACCAAAAGGCTGGCCATTCAAACCCACCAGCCACTCCTCGGAAGGAAGGTTGGGCAATCTACTTCCATAGTGCTACAGCCTCAGAAACCCAAGGAGAGGTTCCTATGAGTCAGATTCAACTCCACAGCACATAACAACAACAACATTGGGTATTCTAACGAAACAGAAAGGCTGGAGACCATGAGGATAAGTTCTTATGTTAGAATTTTTTTTTTTTTTTCTAAAATTGCTCTTTCTCAACCTGTCTACAGTGCATTGCACTGAATACAATCTTTCACACAGAACATAATGCAGATATTAAAGGAGTTTAATGGAACAAAAACAAAAGCACAGACATGGTTGGTAAGGAAGAAGCCTGACTCACAACCCCTTTGACAGTCTACGTTTCCCACAGCATTATGCATCTTCTTTTTTTTTTTTTGATTTTTCAGTAGGAAGCTGCCACTACAAAGACATGCCATTAAGGTGAGTTTGAATACAGTCACATTCCTTGTCAATGTAGGCAGAGCTAAGAATTGTTTATTTTCCACTATGACAGTCTGTATTTGATTATGTGGTTCAGAAGTTTGCAACCGAAGCTATAATTACATTTCTAAACTCATGCCCAAAAGAGTAACCTTGGGAACACAGAAAAAGAAAACAAGGTAGCTAAAACCAATAACTTCAGAAGTGGAAGGTTAAGGTTTTCATGTTAGCAATTTAAAGTAACCACACTTATTTGAGGGATACTGACTAGTAACTATATACATAAATAACATTAAAATTCTGTGCTATCCCTTTGCTGTCTTTTTAAACAAAGGGTGTGTTTTGTATTTCTATTTGTCTTCAATCTCAGTAACATGGGGTTTTTTGTTGGTTGGTTGGTTGGTTGGTTGGTTGGTTGGTTTTGTTTTCCACTTTGTTTAATGGGTGGCATTGCACCAGTTACATGGTTTTGCTTGAGAGGATCTCATTCTACATCTTAGATATGTCTTTCCCTTATCTATTAAGATGAAACATCTGGATTTGATTATTCACTCTGCAATAGTTGAATGCAGCACTATCATCTGAAGAGTTTTTAAAATGTTCAAATTTCCAAGCCTTCACCCAGTCAGTAGGCTGCAATTTTTTATTTTAAGAGTTTGTTTTACATTCAAAGTTGCGTGTACATTTAGTTTCACTCCCCATTTACCATGCCCAACCCTAACCCAGTCTCCTCCCCTCCCTGCCCAGTAACACTGCCCCCCCATAGTTATGCCCTCCTGTTTGTCCTGCGTTTCCTCCGTGCATTTTTAACAAGAATAGATTTTAATGTTTGATTGACCAACTTGCTGTTGTAGATTGAATTGTATCCTCCCAAAATATATGCTGGAACCTTACCCCCTATACCTGTGGGTAGAATCTTATATGGGAACAGGGTTTTATTTGTTATGTTAATAAGGTCGTTATTTAGTGTAAGGTCTGCCCTAAACCTAATCACTTCTGAGTTATAAAAAGACCAGATTATACCCAGAAGCAAGTACAAATGGGGGAGGGGGAGGTGAACTGATGCTACTTTGAGGAAGGAACTAAGCAATGCCAGGGCTACAGAAACTGAAAAAGATAAGGACTTTCCCCCAGAGCTGACAGAGATAGACCTCCCATGTAGCCACATCCTAAATTCAGATTTCTGGCCTCCTGAACTGTGAGAAAATAAATTTCTATTCTTTAAAGCTATATATTTGTAGAGTTTCCATTAGAGCAGCACTGGGAGACTAAGACATACTTTAACATACTTTAAGGAATCCTGTCCTATATGTTTTCTAAGGTCTCTTTCAACTCTAAAATGCTATAATTCTACAATTCTTTTTTTAAAAAATCCCTGTGCATCTAATTTCAGTAGCACTCCTCACATATTACTGGGCATACCACATACACCAAGGCATCTGTTCAAAGGAACTAAAACTTGTTTTTTGAATTTCTGGGTTATTTTAGATGTAAGCTGTACCATCTTCACTAGAACATGCATTACTTGTTTGTGGTTTCATAGGAAATTACACAAAAGGTTACACATTCTCATCCTGATTGCTGGATAGAAAATCATGCATGCCAAGTCTCTAAGGCATTTGACTTTGTGTACCCATAGTTAAATCTAATATGCAACTCACTTTTTAAACTGACTTAGGAGAGAGAGTAAGGGGGAGAAAGAAAGAGAGAAAATCTTGGTTCCATGTTACTTCTAAGAGCTCTGGTGGTGTAGTGCCTAAGGCATTTGACTGCTAACCAGAAGGCTGGTGGTTCAAACCCACTGGCCACTCCTCAGAAGGAAGGTTGGGCAATGTACTTCCGTAGAGATACCGCTTTGGAGACCCAAGGAGGGGTCGCTATGAGTCGGGGCCAACTTGACGGCACATAACAACAACACAAACAACATGGGCAAAATATTGAATGATGCAGGAAGGATCAAAAGAAGATAGGAGGAATATACAGAGTCACTGTACCAAAAAGAATTGGTCATTGTTCATCCATTTCAGGAGGTGATCAAGAACCAATGGTATTGAAGGAAGAAGTTGAAGCTGCACTGAAGGAACTGGCAAAAAACAGGGCTCCAGGAATTGAAGGAATACCCTTTGAGATGTCTCAACAAACAGATGCCCCGCTGGAGTCACTCACTCAGTTATGACAAGACTTTTGGAAGACAGCTACCTGGCCCACTGACTGAAAGAGATCCATATGTGTACCAATTCCAAAGAAAGGTGATCCCACTGAATGTGAAAATTATCAAGCAATATCATTAATATCACATGCAACTAAAATCTTACTGAAGATAATTCAAAAACGGTTGCAGGGGTATATTGACAGAGAGCTTCCAGAAACGCAAGCTGGATGCAGAAGAGGACATGGAACGAGGGATATCATGTCTGATGTCAGATGGATCTTAGCTGAAAGCAAAGAATACCAGAAAGATGTTTACTTGTGTTTTATTGACTATGCCAAAGCATTCAATTGTGTGGATCATGACAAATTGTGGATAACATTGAGAAGAATGGGAATTCCAGAATACTTGATTGTACTCATGAGAAGCCTGTACATAGAGCAGGAGGCTGTCATTTGAACAGAACAAGGGGAAACTGCATGGTTCAAAATCAGAAAGGGAGTGCATCAGGGTTGTGTCTTTTCACAATACTTATTCAACTTGTATGCTGAGCAAATAATCCTAGAAGATGGATTATATGAAGAAAAACATGGCATCAGGATTCAAGAAAGACTCATTAACAACCTGCAATACGCAGATGGCACAATTTTGCATGCTGAAAATGAGGATGACTTGAAGCACTTACTGATGAAGATTAAAGACTGCATTATGGATTACACAATGTGAAGAAAACAAAAATCCTCACAACTGATCCAATAAATAGATTCACGGTAGATGGAAAAAAGATTGAAGTTGTCAAGGATTTCATATTACTTGGCTCCACAATCAACTTCAGTGGAAGCAGAGTCAAGACATCATCAGACAATGTATTACATTGGATAATTTGCTGCGAAGGACCTGTTTCAAATGATGAAGAACAAGGATGTCTCCTTGAAGACTAAGGTGCACCTGACCCAAGCCATGGTATTTTCAATAGCCTCTTATGCATGTGAGAGCTGGACAATGAAGAAGGAAGACCAAAGAAGAATTTATGCTTCTGAGTTGTGCTGCTGGTGAAGAATGCTAAGAGTACCATGGTCTGCTAAAAGGAGTAACAAATCTGTCCTGGAGGAAGTGTAGCCAGAATGTTTGTTGGGAGGAGTTCCGGCAAGATGGCGGACTAGGCAGAAGGACTGCACAGACCCTCTTCAACAAAGAAAAGGGAAACCAATTAACACAGACACAGAAGATAATCTTGGACCCCTGAGCCTTGAAGGGAA